TCACTCCCAAATCAATTCCTTAACATGTAAGCTCTCAATAGTTGCTTGGTGTAAACAAACATCAACATAATAAAAAAAGGTAACAGTATAGCGTACAGCGTGACATTGCACTGCACTGTTAAACTATGGTAGGATTCGTTAGAGAAATGAAAAGGGTTAATTTTGTCATCATGGCTAACTGCAACTGTGCAAAGATCCTTTTTTTTCGTGCGCGAATCATTAATTTAAAGCAATGAAAAACAATTATTTTTGCAAAGCCAATATGAAATAATTAAAAAAAATTGAATTTAAAGTTAAATCAAAAGAATGAAAAACACGGTGGGTGCGAATTTCGAAAGTTGCGTTAAAAAAGAAGAAGAAAAGTTTTAAATGGAATTTTTTTATATATTCGAAGGGTTTTTTAATAAAAGAAATAAAATTTAATTTACGCCTTAGGAAATGAAACTTAAGGAATTTTAAGTGCACGAACAATGTCGCCGTCAGGGAAAGTCAGCAGATGAGTGGCCACTGAAATTGTTCGTTGCGTTGTAAATCTTGCAAACGTATACAATTGCAAAATATGAAGAGACGCATAGAAAATTTCTGAGTTGACGTCCATTCGATTGAATTATAGGTGGTTTTCGGAGTCAAGCGATTTACTTTTTAACTACCATTAGTGATCTTTAATTACCTATAATCTAGTTTTCGAGATGTCGATGACATACATCCATTTCCAAAGGGGATCATTTTGATCCCCTGCTTTTGTTGTCTCGTCACAGTCTTAAAAAAAGAAAGTTTTTGCATAGATGAATTTTTGTATGCAAATTGTATGAAAATTGGCTGTGATCTGGAAAAAGGTCGACATCTTTGTCATATTTTTGCTTATAATGTTCGATGCCTTGAAGATTTTTCTGAAAGACTCTGACTCAGATCTTCATCAGGATAACCTTCATGTTCAGTCTGAAAATAGTTCCGATCAGCTTTTTTTTTATTATTATTATGGCAATAACTTACCATAAAATTGTAATTTCAATTTATTTACAGCTTATGTCAGTATGTCGGTGATTGAACTATGAAAATAGGCATATGTTAGGATCCGAAGTTAGTTCAAGAAAGAAAATGACGCCATCGTTTAAGAGAAATTGCGTAATGTAAAGCATGTACAGTACGCTTTGTTTCTAATTTGAAATTATTTCAAAAATATTTATTTAACTTAAGGCTGTTTTTGGCAAGGACGAAATTTGTTGTTGTTAATATTGCCAAACTTAACAGCGTAACATTTTGCGTTTTTTTTTTTTTTTGTTTTTTTGTTGGCCACAAATCGTCTGTTTAGGAAAATCGCCGTAAGCCTTAAAAGGATTTAAAACTTTATTTAAAAAGATTTCGTTGGAAAGGAAACGGTCGGAAATTCGCAATATTATGAATTATGACTTCCTAGTCGGAACTACGCTGTTGCAAACCGCGGGAAACATTTACACTGTGTCTGGACCTAGTCTTTATACACAGCAGACAGTATCACGTTGAACCACGCCATCGCCCCTAACATAAAATGACGAATTAAAGATTCCCGAGTCTGACCCATCTCTGAGTTATTATCATTTATTGTTGAAGTTTGGTAGCAGCAAAAAGCCAGTAACAACTCATTTAGCTTAAATCATTAAGGCCAAGAACGTAGATAAATGAATTCCAACTGAATGAGAAACAAAAACTACTTTTCCGTGGTAAGTCTGATCCGTTTTTGAATCGTATTGACACCTGTGAGGAGAAATAGATAGGCGGTTTAAGAAGAATGCTTCATCTTAACACAATCCAAAGCTTTAAAAGAAGTTGATGGTGATCTCATGCAGGTGTGATTCACTCTGATTTTGTGAAATATGATTCATTGATCGATGCAGAAACATCAGCTACACGGCAACAAAAGAAAACCGCCTAGATTGATCGGCCCCTGTCTTATTGCATGATAACGTTAGGTTACGCAACGCACTAATGATTGTGGTAAAGTACAGAAATTGAATTTGGAACCTCTTCATTAGCAGATCTAGTCCTTGCTGGCTACAACTTTTTCCGCAATTCGGATAAGTGCGTAGTAGAAACACAATTTTATTTCGAACGGCTGCAGAACTGGCCTTCCAGGAGTTCAATGACTCTCGCCTGACAGGATTTAATACCACTGGATTGAACAAGCTTGTGCATGAGCAAAATGATGAAAAAACAATTCTTATATTTCTAAGCAATTTCTTATATCTTTAAGTTGTCAAGCGATTTTGTAGTTTTTTGCTACAAACATCATCCTTCGCGGCCTCGTAATATTCAAGTGTATAATAAATATTTAATACAACACTTGATATTTCTTCCTAAAGATCTACGGATTCATTAAAAATTGTTGCTCGCTCGCAAATAAGCCTTTTAAGGATAAATATCGAAAACAAAAAGAAAAAATGAAACCACAAGAAATATATAGAAAATTTCTTTTTCAATCTTTTTAAATAACAGTTTACAAGCAGATTTCGAATAAGTGAATCTTTTCGTTTTATTTATTTCATTTTCTTTTCTGATCTTTTCGTATTTTTTCTCTTTTTTTTTTTTGTATTTTAGAACTAGAAGCTAACATATATTCAAGTGAGTCAATGGCTTGTCAGAGCCTAAAGAACCCAATCTTATTTTCATAAAATATTCAAAGCTACTCACTTAAACCATTTTTTCTTTAGTCTGCTTCCATTTTCTTTCCCCAGAACAGAAGGAAAAATACTTCCGAGTTTTTTTTTTTCCTATTTTTTTGTAAGCAAATGGAAAAATGGAATTCTTAAAAGGAAAACTTTTTGACTCTTCTGTTTAAAATTGTATACAAAATAGCCTAAAAGCTGGCTTCACGAAGAATAGAAAAAAATTTTAAGTTATTCCCAAGCATATACATGATTTTTGTATTTTTTTTTTTCTTTGGTTTATTTATTCATTTATTTGCATTTGGCACTGCAAAGTATATTGACTTTTCTACTTCATATGGAACATCCACAAATTGTTTCGAGAAATTTGAAAAATAGCAGCAGATTCGTTCACTAAAAGGTTGAAATGATTTTAAAAAATTGCTTTTATTTTTTAAACAAGTGAAGAGAACGCTGATCTTCCAGAATTATTTTTAAATATTTGTGTAGAAAAATAAAACCAATTTTCTTGTTTTTTAAGAAATTTGTTTCATTTTAAATTAACATAAAAAAAAAAAAAACAAGTTCCAAACTTTCCGTTTAGAGAATTTATGTAAAAATTTTCAAGGATTAATAATTTAGCCAATGGTAGGCTGGGGATACGAACTGATTCGGCCCCAACCGCATATAATTCCGGTTTTGTTGTTTTTATTTTGTTTCTTACGTAAAGGGTTTTTATTTTCCTGTGTATTTGTTGCTGTTTACGTTGATTATGTTGTGCTTCTTTCTTTTTATCGCCCTTAAATCTCATCATGTAATGCATTTTATTATAAGCAAATTTCTGAAGGTTTTCTAGATTTTTTTTCTTAACTTAGTTTTATTGACAAGTAGGTTTCGTTTTTTTTTCTTTTTTTTTTTTTTTGCCTTCTTTTCTCCAAATTTATTAGATGGTCAAATTTATAAAAAGTAAATGAAAAAAGGAAAATTTTAATAATATAGAAATTTCATTTCAATAAAATATCCAGACGAAGTTTTGTTTTATACCAACAATCATGGGCGGTGGATGTATACTGAATTTATCCATAAACAATACATCACTCAATAAGTCTCCTGTCTGACACATATAAGGCAGGTCTGTTAATAAATTTATGTGATTTTTGAACAGTACTACACCTTAAACAACACGCATCAACGTTTCGTGACGTTAGGGCGACTGGCTTACAGATTACATTAGTTTGGGTTAATCCAGTTCTCTTAATGGATTAAAGATTGCTTTTTGATAGGAAAAAATACTCTCTTGCAAGCCGTTATGGAAACTCTGCACTAGGGAAGTGAAGTAGTCTTAACTGGTATTCAAAAATTAAACGAAGTCGGACAAACGGTGCTGGTGATAAACGCTCTGGTCGCCTAAAATCGGCAGTTGTTCCAGAGGACATAAAGAAAGTGCATAAAATCGTTTTGGAAGACCAAGAACTGTCGTTGCATGATATAGCTGACAACTTAAAGATGTTAGAAGGCAGTATATTTATTATTTTGCATGAACATTTGTCCATGAGAAATCTGTGACCCAAGCGGGTGGGCGATTGCTCACTTTGGAAAACAACGTGTTAATGATTCAAATCACCGATTAAAGCTGTTTAAAGGAAATTAAAAAGGTTACTTTTGATATATGACAACGAACGATATATGGCTTCATCACTGCACTCCAGAGTCAAATCGCCAGTCAGCCGAATGAACGGCAATAAAGTAACACCACTAAAACAGTTGGTTGAGATATAAACAAATTTTGATTCATTTCGTATGAGGAAATCTAGAAATAATGTGCGCCTGGCAACAGTGTTTCAGAGCGGAGACTTATTGAGCGGAGTGCTCTTTATCAAAAATTACATTAAATATAATAACTGCCACTACTAGCCCAAGCAGCTATGCTCTTTCATATGCCCATACATCCCACTTGCAGCCGTGAATTTTCAGGCGGGAGGATTGAATTTGGCATATTAACGGCCAACGAATCATGTTTGAAATTAGATGTAATCTACCTAGGTATACGCTCATAATAATCAAACAAACTGTGATGGGTAATTCATAGCACATACTGGTATAAAATTTTGCTTAGGTCGTTCAAGAACTCTGCACAAAAGCGGCCGCTATTCTGTTCTAAAATCAAATTTTTTATGTATTTTATATGTTGCAGTTAATGGTGGGTGTTAAAGATTCGTCACAAGGCGAATAATATGTTGTCCGTAGTTTTGCTGTATGTATTTAACCAAACTTAGCTGAACTTTAAGAAAAGATTTCGTTCTTCTACTTCAATAATTTTCCAATTACTTTAATCAAATTTAGTAAAATTAAATATTTCTCTTCTTTTTCTCCGAACAGTTTCTCCTTTGGTTGGTATCGTGCTGAAGTGATTGGTGCTTTGGTTTCTGTTATTATGATTTGGGTAATTACCGCCATATTAGTCTGGTTGGCCATTGAACGTTGCGTAACTCAAGATTTTGAAGTTAACGCTGCCATCATGTTGATTACCTCTGGTATAGCTATTGTTGTCAATTTAATGTAAGTATACAAATGGTTATGGTATATGAAGATTGGATTGAGATTTTCATATGTGCACACAGGGTGTAGATTAAATTTTCAAAATATTGCTAACGATTAAAAATGAGTATTGAAAATGCTATAAGATTAGTGTATGCTTGACCAATATGATCTCAAAAAGTTCTTCTCGAATAGTTAGGTTAAGCCCAAATGTTTTCTTGTCAGTAGTTCGTAGAGAATTTAATCAGTTAAAACTGTGTAGGTAGTCGGATTGAAATTTTGAGAAGACCTATTAATTGCGGTTTTCAATTTGGAAGATTTTTAACTTAGAATGTTAATGTTACAAGTTTTACATTAAATTAGAAAATTCATTGAATTGTCTCAAAGCCTCGCCCCCACGATTGTGTAAAAAACTGTGTTGTGGAAATACGGTTCGCAGTTTAGAAGATTGTTCAATGAAGATTTATAAAAATATAAATGATATATGCGATATCATATATGGACATATATATAATAGTAGTATAATATAGGCGATATCATATATGGACAAGCAAACAGATCGTTGTTCTTTTAGGCAATTGTTTGTTATATGCAAGTCCACACAGAATACAACTGCTTTCTCTTGTTTTATTCTGAAATGCAATCCAAATTTTCAGAATGTTGGGCAGTCTATTAATCTGCTTTCAGGCTTTAGTACATTGGTTTACGAACTTTATGTTGCATGACATGATAGGTTCAAATGGCGTATGATAGAAGAGACGGAAAGTTTCTCCTCAAGTTTGATTGCTTTAGCTAAAGTGCTTGGTGCTATAAAAGTTATTATATTTGAGAAACTTTAAATTAACTTAAATAGTTCTTAATAAACCGAATTGGAATTCGAATTTTTTTTTCTTGTAAAGTAATTTTGGAAAATTTCTTAATTGCCTATCATCAAAATTTCTGAAATTTAATAGCTTTAGTTATTGTATTGAAGCTCGAATCAATTGTGTTCTCATTCTCTATACATTTTCCTTTGCAATACACATTTATTACTATTTTTTCTTCATATTTTTGGCTGAAGATTTATGTCAACAGACAGAAAGTACAGCGTCAACAATTTTAGTACAGCACATCAATTCTTTCCTTTATTTTTTTTTTTCTCATTGTCTTTCATTCCGTATGTATTTTTTCTTTTCTCTGTTTTTTTTTTTTTTTTGGTTTTTGGTTTTGCTTAGATTTTGGCTTAGCAATACAATTTTCATCTTATCCTTCACCATTGCACTAAAACAAAAAACTTTTTTTTATTGTTTTTCTTTTGGTATATGTTTGTATGTATTTAGCAAACGTTGGCAAAAATTATTTTTAACTGTGTTTGCCACTTCAAATTGTTTGATAAACGTGTTTGGCATATCATACAATCTTCTTTAACTAATTTATGGCAGTCATGTTGCTAAAGCACACCTTAGCATAAACGCGGTCAGAGAGAAGGAAGAAAGACTCAGAAAATGTTGAAGGCAAAATGGTTTTAAAGTAAATTAAATTAAACCAAAATTCCTTGAATTTTCCTTGAATTCCTATTGTGTGTGTATCTTATAGATATGCTACGATTTTAGTAAGTTTTTTAGAAAAAAAATTATGCTTTACTTCTCAAAAATTTCATAGAGTGGGAGCATTTAGGAAGTTTTTGACCTAATAAAGACGCAGCAGGAAATGAAAATTTTTATTTATTCTTTAGTATTTTGTCTCTACATTCATTCATTTATAAAATCTGTAAGGTAGTTTGCTTTAAGATTTTTAAATTATATACTTTCGGTTCCTACAAGTACAATGCACTCATTTTCGGCACTTTTCGAGTTTTTTTTTTTTTTTTTTCTTAGGAAGGAATGCAAGCCTATGAAGATCAGATCAAATATTTCCCTACGGTTTAATCCCGTTTGAAATAAGTATACAAACGTCGTAAGAGCTTTCAATTTTGTAAAATTTTGCAAATAAGAAAAACGGGCCCATTTTACAGAGGTTATTGAACGACGTTGGGCCAGATATTTTGGTCGCAAATTGACGGTACAAATGTCGGCGACGGTTATTTTCAGTGCGATAGCTTCACTGGCAAAGCAGTAGAAGCAGTGACTTCATCGCTTGCACGTATGGGCCTCTTGTTGAAAAACCCTATGTATGGCGAAACGGTTTGGACTTTAGAAGGCATTCGTATGAGAAATGAAAGCTTCCTATACCGATATATATTTGCGAACGAAGTTTATGTATGACCCGGTATTTGACTTCAGTTTTATCTTAACAATTTTCATTTACCCCTAAATTAGGCTATAAAAAATTATGGTTTAAAATAAAACTTTCATGCTTTAAATATATTCGCTTGTATGACTATATATTAGTAATTATTAGACTAAATATTTTGAGAGACAAACGTAAACTTGCATAAATTGGTTAAATTACAACTAATAACAATAAAAACACAAGAAAACAGCAATAATAATTACAACAATCAAAATTAACAAACAAAGCCACATTCACTTATATATAAATATATATATATATTTGCCCATATATGTCTATATTTATATATATATATATATATATATATATACATAAATACATATATATATACGTACCTACAAAACATATACAACCATTGGATTGCATAAATGAACATGCATATGTATTATATGTACATGAATGTGTGTACGTCTTATGATAAATCCTTATGTACGCTTTTGTTTGCTTGGTTGGTTACAAAGAAAGAGAGAAAGAGCAAATTAAACGAGTTATTTGCCGAATAACATTGTGTGCTTGAAACACACGACAAGTGAACATAACTAACTTGAGGAAATTTTCATTAGGATTGTTATATATAGTTACAATAATGCGTGTATATGTGTGTGTGTGTGTGTGTGTGCGCGCGTCTTGTGTTTTTTGTATATGAATAGAAGTTGGAATAAGTTTCGTGTAAATCAGTGCAATTTCAGTGACACATTGTATGTTTGAAACAGTTTTAAAAAAAAAAGAAAATAGTTGTGTAGGAACTCATAAAATAATAACAACATGAAAAATTTTACGCTACACAAGGTACCGAACAAGTCAAGTTTTTGAGACTCAACGCAATGTTAATATAACATAACGATACTTTAAGTTATAAATGTTCATGTGTAAATGCGTAAAGCGAAACTATGCACGAACTTATGCATACATACATTCACCTTAACACTCTAATTGTTTTTAACGTTTGTTTGCTACCGTTCTAGCGGCGCTTGTTTGCTTTTATTAAATGAAATTTTTAATTTTATTTTATATGAGTGTGTGTTAAACATAACACTAAAAAAAAATTTTTTTTTAATATAAATATTATTTATATTGCAAACACACACAACTCGTGCATGTTCCTTTTTGTTTTTCGTTTTTATTTTTTTTTTTGTTATTTTGCTCACAATATTTAATGCTTGGTAGAATTTAAAAAGCTTTGCAAAAGTCGTTTGTTTTGTTGTTTTGCAGCAAGAAATTAAACGAAGCATAAATTCCGGCATATGTGCAGTGTTATTTTAAAGGATTTCATTGTTAGTTGTTGCATTGTTTTTCTTCTTGTTTTTTTTTTTTTTTTCATTTTTATTCTCTTCAGCCGGTTAGCTTTTCGTTTCTCTAGATTTTCCTCTGTGTGATCAGTTACCTGGAAAAACGTCTGTGGATTGTGTTATACTCTCGTAATGTGTTTGTTAAATGCGGGGTTCAATGAAGTTATATTCTTTTATATATAAATATATATGTATTTATTTGTAAGTGCACGTCACTTTGTAGTTGATATATATACGTATATATTTTATGTACGTACATAAAAATATGCACAAATCATACAGTGTGGAAATATTTATATAGAGCATAAATAACCCAACAATGTAGGCAATAGTAATTTATGATGGCTTAAAGACTGGCCTCTTGTTTTTTATTTGTGTATACATATATATATATATATATATATATTGTGTATGTACGTATATATATATATATATATATTTTAAAGTTTGCTCTTTTAAAACAAAGTTTTTTTTTATAATTTTATTTACTTAAGCTGAGAAGTAGATTTTGAAAAATGTTATATGTTGCAACAGCAAATTGTAGGCAATAAAATTATAAAAAAATTGAATGCAAATGTTTTAAAAGGCATTTTTCTGTTCAGTCAGAAGAGAGTGGAAAAGGTGCATAAATTCGCTATCATCCCAGATTTGTCACAAGCATATAAATCATGGGTATGAATGGTTTCAAAGCGATATCGCAAGAAACCTGCGAGCAATTTCAACTTATTTTTTAAAGTTGAGAACAATATTATCGAACAATTATCATCTTCTAAGTTTGAGAAAAGAGCTTTATTTTAGAGTAAATGAAATTTTCGTGTAACTGATTGTTGCTCAATTAAATTTTTAGAGGATACAAAAAAAGAGAAGATCGGCTTTATCGGGATTCAAATGGACGATGGAATCATAGTCAGCATAGCATGTTTTGCCATATTAGATATTAAATATTTAATCCTAATTTAGTTGGTCGGGACAATTCTAGATTTTAACAATAAATCATCAGCGCGGCACTCTTTATTTCCCTGAACTAAAAGGTAGTAAAAGCAACTGTAAAAGTGACCATTGTTACGCTATGTCAGAATTATCTATGACCTGAGCTAGGATGGAAACTGGTTTGCAACTAAGAAACCTCTGGTGACATTCCAGAGTTACGTGTGGCATGAAAACCTACTTTACGGAATTCCTGCAACGGAAATATCTATTAAAACATTTTTTTACCTGAATCATGTTGCGGTATGGAACCATCAGTAGCAAAGTTGTTACGACTTGGGCAAAAGTTATTTATTAGTCATTTTATATCTTTAGAAAAGGCTACGCTACTAATGGACCAAAGAGTTATAAACGTTTCAATCAACCTGTTTAAAGCAAAGCTGTACGTCTAAATTGCACTCGTTCGTTTTTCGTGATCCATTATCGATCCGCTTTAGATACTGGTTTTAGTAAGTATTTATATACTAAGGCTTA